TCCCTTCTTCCCTTCTCTGTTATTGTGCTCCTTACTCTTATAAAATTAAAACTTTCTGTTAGTTTTTGGAGTGCATTTGAATAAATTGAAGTTGAAGATAGTCTATTTGCTCTCTTCTTGTGGTTCCTTTTCATTTGTATAATTAAAAAACTTTCATATTTTTAATAACTTTTTGGCAGTTCTCACTTTACCCTTACTGATTCCTGGTTCATAGATGGATTTTGTGGATCAGTTTCTTTTTCTGTCCCCTGTAGTTCTACTAATCGAATATTCTGTTATTTATTCTGGTAAATATAGATTTCTTCCTTTCCTGATGGTGTTTCTACTACTTAGAAGTAAATTTTCGATAGTTGTGTCTGATTTAAAGAAAGTCCAAGCCTCCTCCATCTTAAGCTAAGCCCTCTGCTCCTGTTCTTCACCTATTTCCCCATGTTTTTCATTTTCTGCCCTTTTAAAAGTTGTCACCATCTGTTTCTGTTTTGCCCTCAATTTAATGTAAATCCTTATTACTCATGATTGCTAAGCCTAAAGTGGCATCGTCTTGTGTTAATTCTGGGACTGCTTTGTGAACCAGTCCATCAGCTTTTGTCCGGGACTGCTGCTGTTTATGTGGCATTGGTGACACTTGGCTGGAGGGCAGGAGCCGTGGTAGAAAGCTTTCTTTTTAGAACGTGCCCATTTCTCTGTATTCTTAGGAATTGCCTGGTCAGACCAGCACAGAGAATTCCAAAACTGCCCCGGAGGTGAGTTCTGGTGGCTGGAGCTAGAAGTAGGGTGGGGACTCGCAGAGGATTCAGGCTTTTGGGGCTGTGCATGTGGAGACAGGATCACAGCGTGGGCACACAGGGGAGGGGTGGGGAGGAGGAGAAGGGTGAGGAGCATGTGGCTGGGGTGGGCAGGTGTGGAGCACACACTGGGGGTGATGTGGGGAGGGAGGTTTGGCTCGGTCGATCTGTGGGCAGTGCCGGTGTGGCTCTCGCAGGTGGCCACGCACAATCCCAGTGGACTGCACAGCCCTGAGCAGAGATCCTTCCGCGAGAGGCAGAAGTATTTCGAAATTGAGGTGAAGCAACAGCAGATGGATAAGCCTCCCAAGCGTGTCTCCTTGGTAGGAGAGGATGATCTGAAGAAAATGAAGGAAGAGGAAGGTATGTTGGAAACTGTGCAAGGAAATTCGGCCTGTTGAGTGAATAATTTCTCCATGGTGGGAGGCATAAGAGAGCACACACACCAGAAATCCAGCACTTCCAAAAGCCCATGGGTGGTTATTCATAAGGCCTGGTAACAGCTCAAAATAATTGAATGTTAAAGAGTTTTGTGGATGCTCTACTGTTACTTTGTGGGCTGCTGGAAGTGCTGTGGTGTCAGGGTTTCCTTTAGTTGGTAAACACTTAATAAAATTTTAAAAAGCTACTACAAATGATGATGTTTCTTTGTAAACTGGCCAGGCTGATATGCAGCAACATGGGGTTGCCCATGGCATCCTTGCATAGTATCTGACAGTAGAGCTTTTATTGCTCAGTATGTGCTCTGATTTTGCACAGGACTTGCAACAGGAGGGAAAATTACTGCTATAGTTTTTGATGTAATTTCCTCCTGCTTGAGAGTTGTTTTAAAAGGTGATGAGGAATGATGTTAAGTGGAAAAAAGGGCTTCTACTGAAATCCTGTCCTGTTCCATAAGAAAATACAGCAGGAATTGGACTCCTGGGTTTGGGAGCTGTGACTCTGTTGCTTGCAAAGATTATCATAGAATTTCTTTTGTAAATTGTTGGGTTTTGGGGGTTTTGTTTTGTGGTGGGATTTTTTGGGGTTGTTTCTTTTTTTTGTTTTGTTTGGTGGTTTTTTTTCATTTTATAAATAGCTAGTCTTCTCTTTCCCACCTTATCTCCTATACTCTTCTTCAGAGGCTGTTTGTGAATTTGTCCAGAGCATTAGAAGCCTTCTCATTTTCACTTAGTATTTCAGGAACATGAATACATTTTAAGACAAGAGTAAGCTCATAAAAGGTAGAAAGGAAGGTAAGGAAAAGAAATTGCAACTTGTCATTTGGGGCTTCTTCAATGCAATGTGGCCAAAAGAATCACAGGTCCAACATAAGAAGTTATCTGGGTACATCAGACTCTAACTGTAGGCTAAGAGAGAGATGTAGGAGATGCAAAGATCTCGGTACAAAGTATGGAAGGAGAAACTGTAGAGTAATAACGAGTTTCAGGCTTGCATTTCAGCTTTTTTTGAGATTTCTTAAGTGGGGTAGATGAGAAGAAACATCACCTCTAACCAGGATATCTCCAAGTACTAGAATTAAAAAAAAAACCAAAAACCAAAAAAACCCACCAAAGCCCTCTGGGAAAGAGAGATCCCATAGTGAAGATTGTCCAGACAATAAATTCAGTTTTAGCTCACTCAGGATGAAACATCCCAATCAAATATCTGAAAGTGATAAGTTACATCCTCTGGATCTTTGTAATTCCAGCACTTACACAAAGGTTTCTGCTGCTTTGAGCTCCCACTGCTAGCAAACTGCAGCATTAGAAATTTCAGCATATAGGCACACCTACTTGCACAAATGTTCTGTTTGTGTTTTTCAATTTAAAAAATATTTAATAAAAGAGGCCAAGCAGCATTATTACTTTGCAGTTATGGTAGGCAGGTCAGAATAGAATAGAATATTTCAGTTGGAAGGGACCTACAACAATCACCTAGTCCAACTGCCTGTGCAATTCAGGGCTGACCAAAAGTTAAAGCATGAAGTTCAACAAGGCCAAGTGCAAGGTCCTACACATGGGTTAGGGCAATCCCAAGCACAAATACAGGCTGGGCAATGAGTGGATTGAGAGCAGCCCTGAGGAAGAGGGCTTGGGAATGTTGGTTGACAAGCTCAATGTGACCCAGCAATGTGCATTTGCAACCCAGAAAGCTAAGCGTATGCTGGGCTGCATCAAAAGAAGCGTGGCCATCAGGTCAAGAGAGGTGATTCTCCCCCTCTGCTCCGCTCTGGTGAGACCCCACCTGGAGCACTGCATCCAGCTCTGGGGTCCCCAACATAAGACAGACATGGACCTGTTGGAGCGAGTCCAGAGGAGGGACACAAATGTGATCAGAGGGCTGGAGCACCTCTCCTGTGGAGACAGGCTGAGAGAGTTGGGTTTGTTCAGCATGGAGAAGAGAAGGCTCAGGGGAGACCTTCGAGCAGCCTTCCAGTACTTAAAAGGGGGCCTACAAGAAAGCCAGAGAGGGACTTTTTACAAGGGCAGGTGGTGATAGGACAAGGGGTAATGGCTTTAAACTGAAAGAGGGCAGATTTAGTTTAGATGTAAGGAAGTTCTTCACTGTGAGGGTGGTGAGGCACTGGACCAGGTTGCCCAGAGAGGTTGTGGCTGCCCCATCCCTGGAAGTGTTAAAGGCCAGGTTGGATGGGGCTTTGAGCAACCTGGTCTGGTGGAAGGTGTCCCTGCCCATGGCAGCGGGGGTGGAACTAGATGATCTTTAAGGTCCCTTCCAACCCAACCCATTGTGTGATTCTGTGTTATTAAGGGCATTTTCCAAATGCCTCTTAAACACTGACAGACATGAGGCATTGACCACCTCTCTAGGAAGCCTGTGCCACTGTTTGACCACTCTCTCAGTAAAGAAATGCTTCCAGATGTCAAGTGTGAACCTCCCCTGATGCAACTTTGAACCATTCCCAGGTGTCCTGTCCCTGCGTCCCAGGGAGAAGAGATCAGCACCTCCTTCTCTACTCCCCCTGCTCAGGAAGCTGCAGAGAGCAATGAGGTTGCCCCTCCCTCAGCCCCCTTTTCTCCAAACTAGGCAAACGCAGAGTTCTTAGCCACTTTTCATAGGACATGCCTTCCAGCCCTGTCACCAGCTTTGTTGCCCTCCTCTGGATGCATCCAAGTACCTTCACACCCTTCCTAAATGGTGGGGCCCAGAACTGCACGCAGTATTCAAGGTGGCCGCTGCTCATGCTGTGTTTGATGCCCCCCAGGATGCCATTTGCCCTCTTGGTGCCAGGGCACACTGCTGAATCCTATTGAGCCTGCTGCTGACCAGCACCCCCAGATCCCTTTCTGCAGGGCTGCTCTCCAGCCACTCATCTCCCAAATTACACTTGTGCCTGGCATTACTCTGTCCCAGGTGCAGAATCCGGCATTTGTGGTAGTTAAATGTCATGCCATTGATGATTGCCCAATCCCTCTGCAAGGCCTCATGTCCCTTGAGAGAGTCAACAGCACCTCCCAGCTTAGTATCATCAGCAAACTTGCTAAGGGTGCATTCAACTCCTGCACCCAGATTGTTGATAAAAATATTGAACAGAAATGGCCCTAGAATTGAACCCTGAGGAACACCACTGGTCACTGGTCACCTGCAGAATACCTACCTGCAGAGAGCAGCCTGCTTTCTGGCCCCTTTTGTCCCTGATCCCCTTGTGACCTGTATGTCTGCCTGCCTAATGGTTCCCCCACTCCACTGTCATGTGTGGAGGCCTGTCACCAGCACTTCAGGCTTTGGTCCCTCCAGGAGGCAAGTGGGAAGATCAGACTCCAAACATGTATGCAGATTCCTGTGGCTGTCCGCTCTGGGGAATGGGGCAGAAGAGTTTGCGAGTCTGCACACAACTTCCAGTTGGAGGATGAGTACACTCAGCATGATGAACTGTTGGACATCTGTTCTACAGAGTGTCCAGGAGTGGAAGTTTAGTGAATAAGGAAGGAGGGACTGGGGGAATGGTGCAGAGTTTGTTACATCTGAAGCATTAGTGGAGTGGAGGAGAAACAAAGGCATCCATGGAGAGGGTATGGACTTAAAACAGCACAAATTTGCAGGGATGATGAGCGTAAGGACCTGCCCAGAGGCTGCATCCTTGTGGGGGTTTAGCAAGTGCTTTGTGGTGTAAGATGAGCCTGTCTTATTTTGGCAGCTCGAAAACTGCAGCAGAAACGTACCCTTCTGTTGGAGGAAGAGGCAGAAGAGGATGAGATGGTAAAACAAGTGCCTGAGATGAGCATGCAGTCCAGTGTCATCATTGAAGGAGTTGAGTACAAGATTGAGAGACTAAATGGAAGGAGCATCCAGGCTCCAGCAACTCGGTAAGACAAGACTGGTAGCTCAGTACCACCTACATGTGTCAGAAGTGTCCCAGTATCAATAATTTTCAGGGAAGAGGGCTGGGCAGAATTTCTTCTTCAGCATAGAAATGGACAGGTTTTTCTAGCTCTTTCTTTTCAGAATAGCTGCTTCAGCTATGTACTGGGGTATGTAGAGATGTTGATTTTTAGAGGTAGCTAATTCAAGATAAGTCCTGATGCTGAATCTAGGTTTGGGGTTTTTTTAGGCTTTTGTTTCCTGGTTCTCCTGGACTCGTCCTCCAGGTTGCCTTGATGTTGTTTTTCTAATTCTTGGGCATAGAGCTGGGAAATGAGAAAAGGCTTCTCATAAGACTTCCGATAAAAATAAGCTACACTAAAATAAAGCTGAAGCTGTCCTTACCTGACTCTCTCTTCTGAGTCTTTGGTACAGACGTTCTTCTCTTCACAAACACTTCTATTGTCAGTCTTACAGAGGCTGAAAACACTTATCCTGTCACTTTGAATCTCATTTCTCTCCCTTGTTTCTGTCCAGTCTTTGTTGAGGAACTTCTCACATAATGAATGCACTGAGACCTTCCACCTCCTGTGCTGACAGGGCAACTCTAAGGAAGGACAGCAGCCAAATGCAAACCAGCTTCTTGGTTTCATGCGAAAGCCTACTTATCCCTTCTGTTTTCATATTGAAATGTAGGACAACAGTAAGGCTGGATCAATCCATCAGATGACTTTCAGTTGCTTATTATTTATGCTTGAACAAAGGCGAGGCAGTGGAATAGACTGAATTTGTGTTTCTTGAAATACTTTTTTTGTTATGCTAGAATAGAAACTGAAATTTCATCAAAATAAACTTGAGCCGTAAAAATAAGGGCTCAGAGTCATGATAAACTTTCTCACTGCCAACTGAGCCACAGTAACGGTGTGCATGTTCTTAACCTGTGGAAAACAGGCTTGGGTGACCCCCTTTCATTACAGATTAAACTGAGTGGTATCTGCATGTGCATAACTTAAGAGTGCAGATGGTAGCTACAGCTCAGCTGATCTGATCTTTGCTGATCTTTGCAGTAATTTGGTTATGAGCATAAAGCCTCAATGTGTCAAGCAGTTGTGCATAGAGTGGCTACATTGAGAGTCACTGTTCTGATATCACTCAGGATTCGTCCCTAGCCCAGATGTGCATTCACTTACAGCCCAGGAGGGTCATCCTTTGCTAACATTCATGCATATCTGACATCAGCAAAGGAAAAAGCTGGAAGCAGCCAGGCTGCCCATCACATAATGGTAGCTGGAAAGAGCCAGGCTAGAACTCTGCAAGAACTTGTCAGCAAACACAATGCCTTACATTTGAAGAGTGTGTGTGTTAGTGGATGGTTGATCTCCAAATGAAGAAAATGAGTTCTGATGTTAGAGAGCGTGAACATTTATGAAATCAACAAGGAAATGTTTGCAGCAATGGAGAAGGTGCTGTTGAGCAAAATCATTAAGGCTTGTGTCTTCAAATGAACTAGTTGTTGCTGTCCTGGTTTCGGCAAGGATAGAGTTAATTTTCTTTCTAGTAGCTGGTACAGCATTATGTTTTGGATTTAGTATGAGAAGAATGTTGGTAACACACTGATGTTTTCAGTTGTTGCTAAGTAGTGTTTATATTAAGTCAAGGATTTTTCAGCTTCTCATGCCCAGCCAGCAAGAAGGCTGGAGGGGCACAAGAAGTTGGGAGGGGACACAGCCAGGACAGCTGACCCAAACTGGCCAAAGGGATATTCCATATCATGTGACATCATGCCCAGTATATAAACTGGGGGGAGTTGGCTGGGGGAAGCGCATGGCTGCTTGGGGAACTAACTGGGCATCGGTCAGCGATGGTGAGCAATTGCGTTATGCATCACTTTTGGTATATTCCAATTCTTTTATTATTACTGTCATTTTATTATTGTTATTATTATTTTTTTTTCCTTTCTTATTTCAACCCATGAGTTTGTCATGGTTTAACCCCAGCCAGCAACTAAGCACCACGCAGACGCTTGCTCACTCCGAGCCCCGCCCCCCCCCAGTGGGATGGGGGAGAGAATCAGGAAAAAATATGTAAAACTCATGGGTTGAGATAAGAACAGTTTGATAGGACAGAAAGGAAGAAACTAATAATGATAATAATAACAATAATAAAATGACAATAATAAGAATAATAAATGTTGTTGTTATTATTATCATTTTTTAAAAAGGATTGGAATATACAAGTGATGCACAATGCAATTGCCCACCACCCGCTGACTGATGCCCAGTTAGTTTCTGAGCGGCAATTCCTCCTAGCCCCACTCTCCCCAGTTTATATACTGGGCATGATGTCACATGATATGGAATATCCCTTTGGCCAGTTTGGGTCAGCTGTCCTGGCTGTGTCCCCTCCCAACTTCTTGTGCCTCTCCAGCCTTCTTGCTGGCTGGGCATGAGAAGCTGAAAAATCCTTGACTTAATATAAACACTACTTAGCAACAACTGAAAACATCAGTGTGTTACCAACATTCTTCTCATACTGAACCCAAAACATAGCACTATACCAGCTACTAGGAAGACAATTAACTCTATCCCAGCCAAAACCAGGACAGAGTTTTACCTTTTTCCTTCCGATTCTCTCCCCCATCCCACTGGGTGAGGGGGGAAGTGAGTGAGCGGCTGTGTGGTGCGTAGTTGCTGGCTGGGGTTAAACCACGACAGTTGCTTTCTGGGGCTTGGATCTGTTCCGAACCTTTCTTGGGTGTGCCAGCCTGTGGTACTGCTAGCTGATGTGCTTGTTTTGCTCTAGGCCCTCTGAGGTCAATGAGAACAGCAGCTCACAGAGGAATTCACTGGAAGAGGGAATTAAGCCTGAACAGAGAACCAACTCTATGTCTGGGTAAGTGGATCAGCAATGTCCTTTGCCTAGGAGCTGCCAGATGATGGAGCAGGTGGCTCCTCCTTTTTGGCAGATGTAAGGTGTAAAAGGAAGGATTTAGCAGAGAAAGGGAAACTGTGATCAGAACCAACTTCTTAAGAGAAACCTCTGTATATGTCCTTCCATCTCCCAAGGTGATGTCCTTGGATGTGGTACTGAACAGTTGATTGGGGGTGTTGGTCATCACCTTTTATCTTGAAAACAGGCAGGTAAGAGTTGTGGTGGACCAGGCCAGCCTACCTCTCACTGTTCTTTCTCTGCCCAGGTTGAGTCCATTATATCTTGGAGCAGGCGATCCAGTGGCACCTGTGCGGACAGCCAAAGCTGAACGGCGGCACCAGGAGCGATTGCGAATGCAGAGTCCTGAGCTTCTGAGTGGTCAAGAGAAGGAGCTTTCTCCAGCAGAACGACGTGCTCTGGAGGCAGAGAAACGAGCAATGTGGAGGGCAGCACGGTGAGACAGAAGAACCTTCACTGTTCTCTTTACTAGGCTAGTTCAGGAAAAGGGGACTTGCTGCATGTGTTTTGGATTACATGTTTTTAAAAACAGGGAATAAACAAGCCTTCCCAAGTCAGATGTTAGGGGAGATTATATAGTATCTGTTTAAACAGTGCAAAGCATCTGCCGCTTGGCTGAGCTCATCTGCTTCTGACAGCTACATGGGTGAGATGTCTCTTACATGTCAACAGTGCTTGCACAATCATGAAGGCAGTGGAGTTTTATAAAAAACATAAACACCTTTACGCGATGATGAATGTATTCCTTCCCTCTCAGCACACAGCTTCCCACCTTCTTTGTAACGCATGAAAAAGATGATATTTATTGAAGCTGCAAGGTGACATATTCAAAATGAAAAATGGAAAGAGCATTTCACATATTCAGTGTTGCTAGACTGGAAAACTTGCTGAAGCCAAGAAATTAGCAAGATGAGGTCATTCTTATCCACACAAGCTGTTTCATCAGCTATGAAAGAGTGATTAAAAATTGTTTTGGAAGAAAGAGAACTTCCTAGCTCAGAAATTAAGACTTGAAGCTAGTCCAGGCATTTACCGTGTCATATAATTCCTTTCAAAAATTAGTCCAGCTGCTCCCATAACTAGTTACAGTTTTCCCGTAATGTTCCTCTAGGAGGCATTCAAAGGACGATCTGAAACAGTCTCTTTTGGGATTTGAATGAGAGCTTTTAGAGCAACAGGGCTGCTAGCGACTCATCCTTGCCAGCCTGCTAGATAAGATGCTGGAGGGATTTACCATGAGTTGTGATACCACTTGGCAATTCCAGTGTTTGTGCTTAGACATGGATGATAATGGTGCTGTCATCTTATGGGGAGGCTCTGAGGATGAAGAAATATATAGTGGAATCCTCAATGAGAGCTGGCTAATTATCTAGGGCTTTGAGGGTACAAAGCCTCCCATTGTTACTTGATTACGTAAGAGATCAGCTTGTGGTTTATTCAGAGCTGGACTAATGTTCCTAGTACCAGGGCTTTTGCCCTTCAAGAAAAACTTTCTTGGTATGCTCCAACTCTTTGCCTTGGATGAGTCCTTTGCCTGGTCTTCTCAGCTGGAAATTTTTTTCTGAAGCATTGCCTTAGTGTCAGAAAGCTGAACAGGTCACTGGAAAGCCTGTTTGTTATATGGAACATTGGTTTGGAAGAGATTGATTTCTGTCATCTTGTAGCATGTTTGTCTGACCTTTGATGCTGGCCCTGCTTTGAGCAGCTTTTGGATCAGATGACCTCCAGAGGTCCCTTCCAACATGAATTACTCTGTGAGTCTATACTTAGTAATCTCTTCTTCCCCAGCTCCCCCCTAATGAGGATGCCTACATACAGGCACAGTGGTGACCAGGATGTCAACAGAGTATGCTCTGCCAGGATTGTTTCCACCCTGTGCTGTTGTTTCGTGCTCCAAATACTGTGGGATTCTGTCTGCTGCTCTGATTCACTGAATGTTCTGCTATATTTGGCATCTCATGCCTGTTCTAGTTGATGCTGTTCCCATGGTTTCTGTGTCAACTTTTCAGGTGGCATCATTTGCAAGTGGAAGTTCTGTATTTTCACATTAAGCCAGTAACAACCCTTTTACAAAAATACAAGTGGAAGAGAATTTGTTAACAATGCCTGCCAAAACAGACACCTTGCCCTTGTGTTATAGGGCTAGAAGCTGCCTAGGTGTTGTGGAGCCAAATGTGTGCTTAGAAAGCTATCACTTAGAAGACACTGGCTGGGACTGAGACGACAGGATCCAAATTCTTGCTCTGGCATATAATTCTTAATGACATTGGACAGATCACTGAGTCCCTCTGTGCTGCAGATGCATGGAGAGAGGACTGTAATAGCACTTCTCTGTCTCACAGGAAGGCTATGAGTGTGGAATACATTAAAAACCAACTGTCAGTATGATGCTGTGTAAGCACCACAGTGTTGTCAGGAGTAGACATCTTGCACAGAATTGCTGCTCAGTCTTCACATGTAAAAAAAAAAAAAAAAGCTCCACTGTTGTATTTGATCCAACAAAACAGAAGTTGTCTGTCAGGCTTCTCCTCCTGAAAATCAACATCACTGTGCTTGGAGAGGTGGTAGGGATTGATCTGTCATCTCTTCCCTATTAGATATGCAGGATTTTCTTTCCCTCATGCCTCCACTTCCCATGCATATTTCTTCATACAATGGGGCAGGCTTTATGAGGTAATGTCAGCTCTGATTCCTCCTAAGCTTAAGCATTAATATATCCAAGGAATGCTATAATAAAAGCTTTGTTTAAGATGGGTGTAGAGAGGAGAAACATGACATTGCCTGCACAAACCTTTGAAAGCAAAACCCTTAAAAGGACATTGCTCACGTCACAGAATGTATGCCACTTGCCTCAGGACTCTTGTTCTTCTGTGAACTTGTTGCTGTTGCCATCAGATAAAGAAATCTGAAAATGCTGGGGCGGAGCGGGGGCAGGATTTTTTTAGGTGACTACATGATTTGCTTCTGTAACATTACTGTACATCTGACTAAGTTTTGGATTAGCTAGGATTTTGCTGAAATTGCTTAGGGCACAGTAAAAGTTCTACATTACGCTGTAGAAGGGTTAGTGATTGTTGAGTACAGTGGTTTTGTCCACTATGGGCAGGAGACAGTTCCCTGCATTCCAAACGTTCAGTCTCTTCTCTTCTAAGCATGTTTTGTTCATGGAAAATGAACTAGTGAAGGGAGAGCCTTTTAGAGGTAAGAATACTTGACAAGGAAAAGCTTCTTGCAACTTCTTGCTTTTTAGTTATCAGATCCAATGTACTGTTTTTAAGTTCTGCAGACCAGGTCCTCGGCTCCACTTCTGATACCAAGGTGTAGCTTTTTATTCAGTTCTTGGAGAAGTGCCTGGCTGATTCCTTGGGTAGGGTTAAGGCCATGCTTATTTTGGTATTGGCAGGAATCAGTCAGTCACCATAATGTGCTCCTTTTTGTAAGACAAGGATGGATTCTTCCCTGCTACTGCAGATCTCCCGTGATGATCTGGTCTTCTTAGGATCTCTCTTCCATAACTGCTAGAACAGGCACAGTGACATGATGGCAGCCAGGGCTCAGGTCTTATTCCCAGAGGCCCCCAGGCAGCACTACATGTGCTGTGTGTGAGGGAGGACTGTATTGCCCTGCACGTGGTGCTGCAGCCTCACTAACCTGTATTTTCTTTAAGTGCATGCCACTGATTTTATTACTTTCTTTCTAATCTTCTATCTTCTGCTTCTTTCCAGTTCTCTGGTCTGTGTGCTGTCACTCGTGACCCCATCAGTTTGCACCTTCTTGGGCTTTCCTTTTTCTCCCTGTGTCATCAGTGCTCTGCCAGGACATGTGATGCGCCCCCCCCTTCCCCTGTCCACTGCCCCCCCACCCCCCCAGCACATACCCCTGTGCTCTGTTGGGACAAACACACTGGGACCCACACTACATAAGTGTTCTGGGCACACACAGCCGCCGGCATTTGTGCCGTAGGAAGAGTGTGATTAAGAAGGTACAGGCACATATCGAGGGGGGCAGGTGTCCAGCAAGTGCTATATGCATCTTGGCAGTTTTCCTACCATGCCACATGCTATTTTACAGATGCACTCACCTCTCCAATTGCATGTGTTCAGGGCCGGTGGCAAACAGACCTTTCGTAATGTGCTTGTCCATTTTGCTTCCCCTTTTCTCGTGGTCAAAGAAAGGTGCATGCTAACAGGTGGTCAGATATATGTATGCAAATGTACACTAAGAGACTTATCAAATGCGTGCACGCACACTCACACCCTGTACTCCCTCAGTCTGCTTCACACATACACACTTCTTTGTAACTACCTCCTAGGCCTTTTCCATTGGTCTGCTGGGTGTTTCTAGTCCTCTCCTCCTAGCCTATGAGGAGGGCACTCTCTAGATGCTGAGGCTCTGAAAGCTAATGCTCCTGGGCACATCATCCCAGATTGCCCTCTGAAGGTTCCTGCTTCTTTCTGCAACAGTTGGTGTTGGACAGGATCAGATATAGAGGCCTGTTTTAATCGAGGCTACCCCTATATCACACCCACATTTCTCCTTGCCAGGGTATGTTCCTGTATCTGTTTCTTTCTTTCCCTGCGCTTGTCCGCTGCGATGTTCATCACCATCATCTCCTCTTCCTCTTCCTCCTCCTCTTCCTCCTCCTCCTCCTCCTCCTCAGATCCTCAGCTCTTGAAGACAGTATTAAACAGTACGAGCAGGATCTGGCCAGGAAGCTGTACCAGTCCCGACAGTGGGCACCTGCTCCCGGGGCCAGGCCAGCTCAGATGTCTAGTCCAATGCAGAGTCACGCCTCAAGAATCCCTGGGTCAGGAAGCCAATCCAGGTGTGCACAGCCCCCTCCCTGCCAGCTGCATGCTCAACAGCCCTGTCTGTATCCCTACATCCTAATGCAGTGCTCCCAGCTGTGGCCTGCTAGGGGTAGGGAGGCAATTTTAGTGGTTGCTGGTGTTCATTTCCCTGAGGTCCCACAGACTACCGGCAGTTGTCTCAATGAGAATGAGGGGGGATGCTGGGTCTGTTTGATTGGGAGAAGGGAGCAGACATTTCTGAGGGCTGAGCCCACTTTTTCTTAGCTATTTCATAATCTCCTGATGGCTGAAGAGGGTTAAGATGCAACACACTGAAAGCACAGAGGAGAGTAAAGCCCTGAGAACTGATCCTATTTATTTGAGCCCCTGCAGTTCCTTTCCCAGCTTGGGTTGCTCTCCCATCGTATATGGTACCTCTGGAAAGGCCTGCAGCTTCTCAGTGTGTTGATGCTTAGCTCTAGGCTCTGTCTGTTCAACACATATGATGGCATGTGTGTTTCGGGATGACAGAAAACCAAGCTGTTCTCTCCTGCTTTGAAAGTCTGTCTGCCTCAGGGAACCACGGGTGCTTAATTTTGCCTTTCTGCACTCAGCCTGTTGACTGTGGTCTAGCTGCTGGGCACAGAAGGTAGCATTATCTCTTATCAAGAAGGCAATGTCTGATGTCTTTTTTCTCCCTCCCTCATTTCTGAGGCAGGATGAAATCACTTGAACAGGATGCTCTTAAAGCCCAAATGGTTATTGCTAAGTCCAAGGAGGGGAAAAAACGCAGCACACTGGAGCAGCTGGCAGAGTCACCTTCACCTGTTCCTACCCCATCACCAACACCACTGGAAGGTACTGTATAGCTATCTCTGAGGAAAAAAGTTAATGCTTCTCTAGCTTAACTTGCTTGAAAGCAGACCTGTTGAAAGCAATTTCCTCCTTCAGCCTAGATTGGAAGGTCCTTTGGGGTATATGACATCTCTCAGCATAGGGAATGGGCCTGATCTATAGCAAATGTGAGAGAACATCTGAGGGATGGTTCCAGGGAACCAGAGCAGAAACAAAACCAGCATCATGACTTTTTAAAAAAACAGGAAAGAGGCATTTGTTCTGAGAAGGCAGTGTCTTTCCTGAGCAGAAAAAATGCTGCTAAATGGAAGGGGCAGATTCAGGGAAGTGTTGCATATAATACAGCCATTCACTAAATAGTGCTTTTCTGTCATCTTTTGCAGATTGCAGTCCCAGAAACGTCACTTCACCGGGAAGGCTGGTATGACATACTTCTGCTTGCTTTTGTTATCTTGCCTATAATCCTGGGATTTTTTGGTTACTCAGCTTGGGTGTGGACTGTGCATCTGGGCCATGGGATCCCTACTTAAATACTTAAGTGAGGTCTGGCTGCATGATATACAGAATTGTGAAGAGGGCACAGTGGATGGGACTGTACTGTGCCCATTGCTAGAGGCATCCCCCCTTTTTTGCCGCTATGATGTAACATCTGTTTTCTGTTTCCCTGTTTTATTATTTCATCCTTTTCTTGGTTCTTCATCTCTGTCTTCAGAAAGCCTTTCACTTCAGAGACTTTGGCCCCTTGTTTCCTCAACAGCATAAAACTGAGAACTTCAGCTGAAATCCTACTTTCCTTTTTCTGAGTACTTTATAAATGTAGCAGGACTTTGTTGCAGAGAACTGTCAAAATTAGTAAGACAGACAAACAGAAGAGTGGGAGCAGCTGCACAGAGAGGGGACCTGGTTTTGTCCAAGGTCACACAATACAGCCAACTCTGGATTGAAATCCTGACTGTGCTACAGCCATCAGGAATCTTGCCATGAATTTTCCCATGAAAATAGGTTTCCTACCTAACTTGGTGTGCATATGCATTTTAGTGGAGCACATCATGTTTTCTCTGCAACTTGGAACCCCTCTCCTGACACCAAAACAACTAAGAGGACAATGTCCCAGAGATGCCTCATTTTCAGAGGCTGTATTCAGGCAGTCTTGGCGCTAACTGAAAATGATGCTCTGCTTCTGCTTTTATCTCTGCATAGGTTGCTTAGCTTGCTGCTGGTTTTCCATCCGCTTCTCTCCCCTTACTCTCTCTTCTCTGTTTCTTCTCTTTTGCTGTCCCTTCTAGTCCATGTCTGAAAAGAAGTTTGACTACCGGGAGTTTGCTGCTATTCCTTCCTCCAAACCTGTTTACGAAATCCAGGTATAAACTGCATGCTGAACCATCTATTAGATTGGTTAGGGCTTGATTTGCTGGAAGTGCCTGCACATGAAGTGATGACCTTCAGAGCAGAGGGTGAATGACTTGAGGAAGTCTTCTTCCAAGGCCTTGTCTGTGTGGGAGGCAATGACAACCAGCCATGCTGTATAACTGAGGGTTTATTGGAGACATCAATCAAGTGGAATTGTGAAAAAGTTGGTCCAGATAGTTTTAAAATTAATGACAAAAGCTTTGCAAATATAAAGCAGCTACATCTTCACCTTAATTGGTCCTGAAATATTTTGAAGTGAAAGATGAGAACTAAAAGGGAAGAAAAGCCTATAGAAATGATTGCCAACAAATTGCACACTGGACCAAATGTTAACTTCAAACTGAAATGTATCCCGCATCCTGCCCAAGAAGCAGCTGTGGTGACAATTCTCCCATGTTGTAACTGCTGTAGATGAACTGTGAAGTAATCACGTGGTAAAAGAACACCAAGTTTTGAGGGTGAGTGCCATGGCAAGGTTCTTCTCCTTCCTGAAAGAACCTCATTTCATTTAAGCTGCTTTGTCATAGAATCAAAGAATGTTTGAGGTTGGAAGGGACCTCTGGGGGTCATCTTGTCTGACCCCCCTGCTCAAGCAGGGCCACCTAGAACCAGTTGCCCAGGAATGTGAACTGCCTTTCTCATATTGTCTGGATTAGTCATTAACTGATTGCATTTGTGACAGCTGATTTGAGCAGATACTGTATGTCTGTAATATATTTTTTTTTTTTAGGTATTTTTTTACTTTTATATAAGACAATGAAGCAGATACCTGCAGTTACATTTGTGCTGTGTATGGAGAGCTAGCAAGTACTGACATGTTGGGCTTTAACGTGCTGTCATGACACAAAGATCTCGGGTCCAAGGTGTAATCCCCAAGGCCAGGCTGACTTTAGCAGAGTTGCAGTTTGAGGATTCTCAGGCGGTTATACATGATTTGATGCATATTCTTGGCTGACTCCTTTCACTGGTGGTATTGCTCAGCTGTTGGTAGTCACTCATCTTTTTCTCTAAGAATCTCTTCCCTATTGGGGTGTGCAGCTGTCCACATTCTGTACCAAGTGAGTTAGAGGGCTGGCTACTCAAGCTCCAGGGACAGCTCTGGACTACCCAAGTTTCCCCAAGCCTCTGCTGAGGCCACAGTGCAGCACTGGGTCTTCATGCAGCAGAGAAGGTGCCTCCAAAGGAGGCTACACGTCCAAATCATCAGTCAGTTCCTCTGGACCTCTTCTCAGCAGTGCAGTAATTAAGAGACTGTATTTCCTCCTGGCCATAGTCACAACTACATCACTCACTTTGGATCAGTGCAGTGCTGTTTGGCTGGGCTGTGTCCTCAGCAATGCATGGCAAAGTCATCACAGCCCCCTGTGCTTTGCTCTCTACTCTTCATGAAGAGCATGACTTCTACCATACATTTGCTTTATTTCTAAAGCACTAAATAGGCTGAGATCATCTCCCCCTCTTTCCTGCTTCCTCCAATTTTGCTGCTTCCACAAAATAGACCAGATTATATGGAAATGTGGGTTTCTTGCACTCTCACAGCTGTGAAACTTCCCTAATGCTTTCCATGTAAGTGTATAGAGCTGCCATCTTTATCCTACAACTAAAGAAAAATTAAGCTACTCCTCACTTGTGCTCTTGAGCTGAGCAAGAAGACCCCTAAAAGATAGATTTGGATCAGTAGTGGCCAGAACTTTCAGATGGTTTTGGCATTATTAAACTTGCTGAATACTGAGCTCTTCTGAAACCCTATCCTTACATTTTGTATAGCTCAGAGAAGCATTGAGCTCAGTGTATTCTGTACAAACCTAGAAAGAATAGTAGAAGTAACACATGCAGCCACTTTTGAAGTAAACCGAATACCTCAACAGAATACTTTGACCATTCTGTCCTTGAAGCACTATATACAGCTAGATCAAATTCTCTATTTCAGCAAAATAAGTAGGGCTTGGGACATCTATGCCTGTCCCCAGAGTAGTGCAGATTTTCAAGCCACCTCAAGTTCATGACCATGAACAAAGTTGTTTTCTCATGGTGTTGTCACTCTGGTCTGATGAGCTACAGACAGCTCCGGTTGTTGGAATGACCTTCATTTTGTGAGGGCTTTACAATTAGGAGGAACTGGTGGAGTTTCATGATTATCACTTAGTCATTTCTCCAAAGCTGTCTTTGCCACCTGTTGGGATGTAACTGCTTCCTATCCCACATCAGTTCTCTATACATACCTGAACATAAAGAAGAAAGTTGATTTTGCCTAAGAAGCTAGGCCTGGGAACAGTGCAGATGCAGAATTAGGATCCAGGACTCTCAAGGAAACATAGCTCATGTCTTTGCTCTCCTCCCATGTTTCTACTCATTTTCTATAGTCTTTATGCTTTCTGCCTTTCATGTCACTTCCTATCCTCTCCTCCCTACACACACAAAGTAAAAGGAGGAGAGCTCTGATGGGCAGACACACACCTCATCCTGCAATTCAGGCAATGGGCTGCTTGACTTTAGCACAAAGGATTAATGCTGTAATCATGCATTCACTGAGGGTCATGCCCCAGCTGCTGTATGATCAGCACCTTTGAGGGCAAAAGGTTCTCTGTAGTGTGTTGGAAGGCTGGAGGTGGGGAATTATTACCTGGCACTAGTATTACAGAGGTGGATGCTCATGTCTTCTGTTCTCTTCCAGTCACCTGATGCAGCTGATGACCTCAGATACATAGATGACAGAAATAACTCAGGTAAGCTCATAGCCAAAAGGGTTGTCTTTGTACTACTTGCTTCCCACCACAGTTCTAGAGGGTTCCCCTTTGCCTGCTTGTGGAATCAAACCTGAGGACTTCAACTTCTTGCTGCTTGAAGCATTGTCCTATTTTGTCCTTTCTAGAATGAAACCTCCAAACTCGTCACATTCAGTTTTGGGTAGGATATTTGCATTGTGCTTTAGTGATGGCTGATTTGCTGAGAATTGTGTGTAACAAGCATGCCTAGTTTTCTTCTGGTTTTATGTTCTGGAGTAAAGAGTAGTAGTAGAATGTGGGGGGGAAGTTTTGGCCTCTGTCACTTGCTGTAAGTGGATAACATCCATTGTCCAGGGCCTGCTTTGTGCCCCTTTTGCTAGAGCAAAGAATCTTGCTGCCTGCAGCAGGCAGCTGCAGATAAATTCATCCTGGTTTAAGACTTGAGAGCATTTGAGTGCTTGAGTACCCAGGTGACTCTCCAAGTCTATGCTTGTGGATCTGTGTGCACAGTCACTTAACTACTTAACTAAAGAGTAATTAAAGCTTTGACTGCTGTATCTCTTCTGGCTGTCCTAGCTATGGTATGTCTTTCTGTCCCCAACTGTAATGGACAGACTATCTCCCACTTCATTCTAGGTGGCTGTAGTAATAGTGTGGAGCTCAGCGGGGCCTGCCTGCTCCTTAGTAGTACTTCTGTTTCCTTCAACAGTTGATGCTGGTTTTCTTCTAGCTGTTCTGCAGCTTTCCCCCCCCCCCTCCCCCCCCCCCGCCCCCCGCCTTTATTTTACACGAGGAACAGTTTGTCTCTCAATTTTATCTTGGCAAATCTCTCAGTAAAGGCTGCACTCCAGACAGCTGATCCATGTATGGGTCATTTCCAGAAGGAGATTCTTCTGCAGAGATACTCAAGAAAAGCTTACTTTCCTGAGAACAACATCTTTTCTTCATCCCTTGGAGTAAACCTCTCAACCCTGGGTTATTCTCTTGAGGTAGTCCATTCAGTCAGTGTACATAACTAGGAGGTCACTGAAGGGTCGGGAAATAATCAACTGCTTAGGGGCTTCAGGCCTCACCATTGCCTGTCATTGGTCTCTTGGGCCCTCAAATAGAATAAAAGCCATAAAGAAAAGTGTATGGTGCTCTATCAAGAGTTTTTTAACCCAGTCCTTAGTCTTTAAGTAATCCTTGTATCCACTGTATGAGGCAGTGATGTGTGTGAGGCACCAAAAAAATGCAGGTTTTCCAAAATCTTCAGCAGATGAAGATGCAACTAAGCTCTTTTGGCATGAGACAAAGCTCAAGGGTTTTTTTTAGATTTCCCCCTCCCCCTATCTCATTCTGCCAGGCAGTGTAGCATTTCAGCCAACATATAGATTTTTATTTTTATGTAGATTTTGGCAAGTTATAACATCTGTATGAGGAATTTTAAAAATCATCCTTTTCTGCATCAGTTCCAGCCTCCTGCTAGGCCTGCTTTTGTTTCTTTTCAGATATCCTTCTCACAACACGTAGAGTAAATATCTGGAAAGAAATACTTCTCTGGGAAAATACTTAAGAATTGGAGTGATTTTTACTTCATTTTTCCTTACCGTAAAATGAAAAGGAAGGGAAACCAGTCACCAAAGATCAAAGGAGTATATGCTGAACTAGTTCAAAACAACACTATGTGTGTGCATTCTTCTATTCCCCCCCTCCCCCCGCCCCCAACCTCCTTCATTTGCAACTCCCAGCATTTCGGGCACCAATTTGACATATCCTATCAGGCCTTTCACTTCTGTGTGTATTTAATACACCTTTAAAAAGATCTAATTGCTACACTTAGTGACACCTTTTCTCTGTACACTTCTACACACACTGGGATTTTAATCAGAATTATCCTTGATCATGAAATTATGGCTTTTTCATCATACGGTAAACTCATAAGCAATTCCTAAACTTTATGCTAGAAAAGCATTATAACAGAAACTCCAAGGATATCTTACTGCTGACTGCAGGAAAGCATTAGCATATCTCTTCTGAATGTCTTTCAAAGCACACCATTTTTTTTTCCTTGTCCATTGCAGATGGGCTCTAAGAAATACTTCTTGCCTTTCTCAGGTCTGACTTCATGGTTATCATCTTTTAAATGTGTTTCAGAATGTTTATTCCAAGGTTTTCAAGAGGCCAGGAAGTTATTGAACTACATAATAGCATTTTTAGGGTGGAACCATGCTATGTGTGTGCTTTATGACATAACTTTTCCAGATCACATAGAGCCAGCATCTTTTGCCTTCCAATCTTACAACCATCAGGTTTCAGAAATACACCCTTGATAACTTTGTATTGCACTTATTACTGGATACCTACTTATGGTGTGTAAGAAACTACTTTTGTCCTCACGGTCTTTGTCTACTTAGGATGTCTAGCGTCTACAGCAACTTATACAGGGAAGGTATCTTTCTGTCCTACACCGGACTAATCACTACTCTATTATTAGTTTTGTCTAGAACTCAGCTCAGCAGCTCATATACACATAGGAATGAAAGATGATCTCTTCACCTTCTTGTATTGTTAATTTATCCCCGTTCAGCCTTTTTAGCCATATCTCTACTCCAAAGATTTGCATCAACCCTTTTGTTATCCAGACTTCCATTTTACAGATTCTTTCCCACCAAAATGTCACAAAACTAGAATCTCTGGATTCATACTAGTTGCAATGCCTGTGCTCTCTTCCAGTATTTTCTGATTTCTCTCATAGGATAAGAAGCAAGTAAGGGAGGCTTGTACTGGTTCAGAATATACCAGTATCCTGTTTGGCTGGAAGTGAGTTCTTGAAGAAAGACTGTAAGAAACAGAGAAAATGAGCTTGCATAGATGCATATTCTCGGTTTTCTGTAATTACCTGTTAAGTAGGAATGTCTTGAGCCAGGTGTTCTATCTAGATCATGAATGGAATGATCCTCTGTAAAATTGTCTAGATTTTTTTTTTTAATCTTTCATGATGTTTTGTGACATTGAGTTCCATAATGAGGCATTTTGTTTACTTTAATTCTGTTTCTTGATAATGTCCATGGGTCTTCTGGGATGCAGTGAATAACTATGTCTTATTCACTCTTTCTGTACCATTCATGCAGGCCAGTATTGTATCAGTTATCTTTCTTCCAGGCTGAAGAATCCTAGTTCTTCTTTGTGGGAATTGTTCCCACACCCCTCTGGACTTTTTTTTATTTCATCTATGCCATTTTTAAGGCAGAGAAGGAGAACAGGGCTGCATGCAGTATTGCAAATGTAGGCATATGATGAGTTTATGCAGTGGCAGAAGGTGTTTTGTATGTTCTCCCATCTTTTCCAATACCTAATCCTCGAAAGTGAAATGGTATTGCTGAGAAGTGTGCCAGTGTTTTCAGAAAGCTCCCCCTAATGACTACAGAATCATAATCTCATTTTAAGGATGTTGCATTTTATATGCAATTGGTATTCCATTACTTTTATTGAGTGTAAGCATCATCCAATAGTGTAAAAATAAACTTACTAAGTCAGCACGAGGTTCTGGCTAGTCCGATATTGTGTCTGATGCGAGCCACTGGGAATGCCAAGAAAAGAGCATAAAAGAAGAAAAGCATAAAGTGATTCCTTCCAGAATACTACTCTAGGCTACAACAATCTGTGTTTTAGCACTTTCTAAGCCAGAGGCCTTTAATTTTAGAGGTTTTTATTTCTTTCTTGAATCTATTCACATTTGCAGTAAATTTCACCTTCCGTGTCATTGCCCAGTCAACTTGGTAAAATCCTAATACCCTTTTTTGTAGTTGAGTTTCATTTCACTACCCTGAGATACAGCTTGGTATCATCAGCAGTTTCTCTCAAGACAGTCTTTATCACTTCTACTCCTTCTCATTAGTTACCAAATACTGACCCTAATACGGATAGCTGCTTTATGTTGTGATAGCAGGTAATATCCTCCTGCACTTTTTCTGTGTTTTAACTACATACCCACTACAGGATGTGCTGCCTTATCCTATGGCAGCTTGTTTTCATTAATAGCTTTGGCTGAGGAACAATCAAAAGGTTTTTTAAAAGTTCAGTATGCTGTGTTGAGATGACTTAACTTGCATGTTTGATGGTTCCTTTGGCTAATTCTAGTCTAAGAGGGTCTAAAAGGAATTACTTCCTTCTAAGCCACACTGATTTCCTTCCCCATCCCACCCCCCATCTGGATTTTTAATTGCATGTGCCTATGCCTTTCTTTTATACCTATTTGCCTTGTTTGGAAGTCAGTCATCTGCTTGCCAATCCCAGTATCCTTTCAAGATGTCAGATTTGTCACCTACATTAATTTGGTTCTGAGGCCTTTTCAAACAACAGGTTAATGCTATGGTTAATAGTTCAGGAAGGATTCTGAATTATAATGACTACTCTAACGGTACTGTAACAAGGGGAATAATTGCATCTTGGAGTCTGATTCTAGAGTAGAGGGTGGGCCACTAGGTACAGCTCAGCAGACTGTGCACCTTTGACCTGATAGATCTTCATAGATTTCTGTATTTGAGGTTCTCTGCTATGTTCAAAGACTTTAGAGAGGCTTCCCAGGAGCCAGTTTGCACTTGAAGGGAAAAATCTGTGGTTTTGTGGAACTTTTTTTTTTTTTTACACAAATATCTCACAGTAGTTGCTCAAGCCAAATTATCGCAAAGGGCAGATGTTCCAGGTGTATGTCAAAGCACAGCAGATAAGCTCTACTAGGTCCTTTCAGGAGGGTAAGGAGCCACTGTAACAGCAAGTGTACTTTAGGTGCAGAACACATCCTAAGAGGCCTGAGACCAAGTTAACTGAGAGTCCGCCCTGCCAGAGTATCTTTCCTGGTGAGTTCCTTTGGTGAGGGAGCCAAGTCACAGACTAAATTTACAGAAAGGACTTAGTCGTGTAACTTCAACGTTAAGCAAGGCCAAAATGCTCACCTCTCGTTAGCTACAGCATACCATGCTGGTGGTCACACTGCTTGCTAGTGCGTGCTACTCTATTTGAAACAGAGATCACCTAAAAGTCCAGGGCACAGGATTGCTGTAGATCACTAAGACTTCAGTGCCATCTGAAATTCAGCACCTGGGTATACCCTTGTGTCTACGTTACCTGTATCAGCTATATACTTAACCTAGCACTTTGTCTTTAAAACTACGTTTCTTGTCTACACAGTTCCCCAGGAGCAGGATGGGCAGCCAGAGGAAGAGGAAATGTTAGTAACACGTGATTCATCAACACCTACTTCATCAGCACTTGAAGAAATGGCCCTGTACAGCAGCAAACGCAAACTCCGACACAGCCGGCGCAGTTTGGAGGCTGCTGTCCCTACGTAGAAGATCTGGTGCACCTGGGCGATGGAATAGCCCAGCACAGGGCTTTTGAGCTTCCTGTGCTCCAGGGACAGCACTGGACTGCCCACACTGCTGCCTCCTGGACTCTGGATGGGAACTGAGCACCCCAGGGAGCATTGTGGCCAACTAACTTCCTTTAAGGCTGTGAACCGCCCTCGTTTCTCACCCAATAATGCACTGGGGCATGTCCTAAACAAAATGGGATAAACACTAGACTTATTGATGGCAATTGAGAGGAGGTGTGGGTATGACAGTGGGCAGATGCAGCTTGTTAGCCTGTAAATATTGTGTGTGGGGGAAGGGTAGGACAGGGAGAACATATGAGTGTGAGAGTGTGTTGGGCTCCAGCTGTTATTTCCTCAACTTTGATTTGTTTAGTGGTTAATATGGGAGCTTCTACTCCGGTATGAATTAGAAGGAAGGTCCAGCCTGCCTTTGCTCCTATTTAATTTCCAGTCTTTTGCCAAAAAGCATCTCCTTCCACTCTCCTGCACTGTGTCACCTCACTTTCTTTTGGGAGTATGTGGAAATGGGTAGCTTGGAGGCAAAAAAAAAAAAAAAAAAAAAAAAAAAAAAAAAAAAAAAAAAAAAAAAAGGAATTTCAGTGAAGTGCCTCCCTCTGACACTGACACCTATGTGCTCAAGCAAAGACAACTGAATAAGCAGGAGCCTGTGCCAGCTCTGTGCCACTTGCCTCTGGTGGTGAGCGCAGCAATCTATCCCATGTAGGAAACTGCTCCTGCTAGTATTTTGTGCTGTTCTGGGAGACAGGTACCTACCTAGATGTACACATAACTGTGTGTATCTTGTGCGTGCAGTGTGAACCACTCTACAAGCACACTGTACTGAGTGTCAGAGGAGGCCAGGTATCTGTCTTCTGTCAGCACCATGACTGAATTGGTGACCTGGGGCAGAAATGAGAAGGGAGCTGAGCAGCTGTAGCAAGAGTGTAGCAGTGTGCATGTGTGACAGCAATAGAGAGCAGAATAGTTGGGGATTAGGATATGGTGGCAGAGATAGGAGGTGTAAACAGCAGATAAGATAGTGCGTTAGGATTCAGGAAATGGGGAAGGGTAGGAAGTGGCATTGCTGGGGTCAGGTTAGGAGTAATGGGGTCTTACAGGTAGGAGGATACTAGTGGGTGAGGCCACAATGTTGCCCACTAGCAGTGAAATGAAACATGACGTTACTGGGGTGCCCAGTGTGGGGCTTTCAAAGAGCGCCTGCTAGGCAGGGAGCACAATGAAGTAGGATGGGTCTGGCCTATGCCTTGCAATAACTACACAATTCTACTTTCTGCCAACTTGTTGGCTTCAGGCCCCTCTCCATGTAGAACAAGGAAAATACATGCTTGCCCATGCAAGAGTTAAAAAAATGGAAAAGGAGCAGGGGTGTGATTCATGGTTTCCATGAGTGGAACAAGGGCTGTGAACAGATTCTGTATCAAGTGAGCTCTGCAGATGGGGAGGAGACAGGTGCTGCCTATAGCTCTGAAATCAGTTTCTGCTGCTGACTACTGAAATAAATCATCCCTTTTCTTTTTTTTTTTTTTCCTTCTTTTTTTTTTTTTTTTTTTTAATGTCTCTAATAGGGAGAAAAGCATCTGAGCTTGGCAGTAATCTGATCTGTCTACCCTGATACATTGGTGCTCTCTGCTGAACCCCTCCAGCAGTAAGACCAGAGTTGGACCTTAAGCCTTTCAGTGACTCAAAGTGGCTTGGGAGCGACAGGCACTTCTGCTTGTATATTTGCTGAATGAAAGAACTGGATGCAGTTTCTTTTAGTTGAGAATCTCCCTTCATGCCAAAATCCAGTGGATCATTTTAACTGACTTCATATGGTTTAATTTTACAGAGCTTTGAAGGGGGAACTCTGATAATCTCAAACTGCAGCTATGGCTGCTTCCATCATCAGCAATTTGAGCTTTTCCTTTTTAAATCTAATTTTAGCATTTGCTTTTTAACAACAGCAATTTTGGAAACAATCCTGGATTGGTTTTGGTGACTAACTTGTGATTCTTTTTTTCTTTCCCTTTGCGGTACCTGGTGCCAGGCTCTGGGTTCTCTCCCATTCTCTCCTGAGAGACTCTGAGGGAAAATTAGCGCATCAAGACTGTAACTAGTGAAATTTGTACAACCAAAGAAATCTATTTTGTGGTTCAAGGATAATAAAGTTTACTTTACATTTTAGAACCTTTAGTTAATGTGGTTTGCCCTGTGTGAAGTCTGCAATTTCTATATCAACACTTTGATTCTTCTCACCCTATAGTCTAGCAAACATACTAGTGATTTTCCTGCTTTTGGATGCAGAAATTAATGATCACCTAAATCAATGCGAGCTGCAGGAATATCAAGATGAACACGTGCTACTTGTGTAAATTTCGTAGAAAACTGGCATCTATGCTGAAAGGGGAGGAAGAGCAGATTCACTCTTGAGGGGCAGGGAGGAGAGTAGAGGTTTCGGCTCCAGAGAAGTTGTAGTAGTCGGGAAAGGAAATGGGGACAAACAGGTGAGATGATACATGTTCGATACAGTGGTTTAGTTATCATGTTCATCGCTAACATCTATTTAAAAAACAACATCCTGCTTAATGGCATACAAAAGAGGGAGGTAAATTCAGAAATGAGAAAATGAGCTGTAATGTGCTGTTCAGTGTTACAGCCTTTAAGACAAGTACTGATGCTAGCTGCAGAGGGACTCGTAATTCCATCCATACAAGGGGCTGATTAGGCACGAAATGTCCCTGTGTGCTGTGGTGCCCGTGCGCTTTGTGGTTGGGCTCTGTCAGTAAAGGTTGCCTGACGTGATTCTGTCATCTGTGGCAGTGAGGACTGGTTCCTTCTGCTGCTGCTGAGCTCTGCAGTGCCTGCTGCTCCAGCCCATTGCTTCACGGGTGTGGGTGAGCTCATGGAGCACCAACCCTAAGGGTTTGGCTCCATTTGACCAGCTGCCAGGAGTGTGTGGGGGAGCGCGTGTGTGTCTGTGTGTGTGTGGATGATGGAACAGCTGGACACATGAGTCAGCAGGTGGCTGTTACAGGAGTAGCCTGGAAGCGATGCACAGCCTTGAGCTCTGCTCATCAGCTGATGTAATATGAAACAGTGACACCAGCAAGATCTTAAGCCTCTTGGCTTTCTTTACTTGGCACTGCTTAACAAAAAATAAATCCTATTTTGTTTACATGATTAAAGCTTTTAAAAACATAGTTTAAATATTAAAAAACTAACACATATCATGTAGCCCAAACAAGTTTTCCTTAGTCTGGATCAATGGATAGCCACCAAGACGTGCCAGCACAGTGAAAGAAAAGCAGCCCCAGTGGGAAGAGGGCAGAATTCCTTTTTCTGGAGACAGTGTCATGCTAGACCGTGGCCTTATTCTCCATCCTTTGCAATTGTTGACTTGCAGGGACATATGGAAAAAGGACCTCGGTATGTCACATGGTACCACAGGAACAGTCTTGTCTTAGTTCAGCTTGGAGAGTTCAAGAGTCTAAAGTGTAGACTTACACAGACTCAATATATTGCACAGGTTTTCTCCTATAAAATGGAATTTTTAAAAATCTTGTTTCAATGTATCTTTTTTCTCCTCACTTAGACTGTAGTTTTCTTGGGCCACATTTATTACTTTATGCATATGTATCGCCTAACACAACTGAGCCATGATTAAGACATACGCAATAGTTATCACTTTAGAGGAAAGTAAACATCATCAGGGTCCTTGTAGGAATTGAAGCAGGTCATTAGCATAATTTTTCTCAGACAAAAGCACATAGTAACATACACACCTCATAAAAATGCAAGCCTGAAAGCCTCACATAAGGTACCCATCCATTGCATATGCACTGGAGGGGGCAGAGGCAGGATGGGAAATCCACACCCATTTATCTGCAATTGAGATTTCCCCGAAGGGTCCATGTTACAGGCCCCATTTCCAGTTAGGGTATGGACAGGAGGATAGAGGTGATTGCTGTGATGGAAGGTGGCCCAGAAGTCTTAACAGCAAGCATATTCAGAAGAGTTTCAGAATTAGAAAATCTGTCCAGCTGCTTTGCTGCTTCTGTGACAAACCTGTTGATGAGAAGCAAGGGAGTAGGGCCTAATTCCAAATGCTCTACTAGATGAAGGTCTAGAAAAGATGTTCATGCAAGAGTGTCTGATTTACGATAGCTACTCAAAGTATCCACAGGGCTAGCATGCAATTGCCTCTGGTAAGATGTTGCTATTGGAGTAAAGACAGAGAAAGACAACCAAAAAATATTTTTCAGAACTTTATAGCTTCCCTGGGTTTTGAGGTGTGCTCTTACGTCTTCATTAACTTAACTTAGGAAATTTATTTAGGGTGGATATTTTACTATAAATAGGAACAAAAAAAATTAGTTCAGTTTTATAGGGACAATGCAAAGATCTTCAAGGCTGCACAAATACAGAATAGAGTACAACTGGTTAGGTAGAAGGTTTGCAAGAAATAATCTTGCAGCTACATGCATTGTATAGCAACAGTGAATCGACATGCTACTGGGAGTGTGGAGGCAATGTTAATGTCATGTTGGAACATAGCTCTAGGTGCAACTTGCAAGATATGAAGTAAAACCTGCTCTACATAACACTGATTTTTGAGCATTGTAGTTTTACTGGAGATTACCACATAGCTGACCACCATATCTGGTTAAAAGCAAATGGAAAGGAGCAAATGATATTGAAATATGGAAGACAGCAATGGGAAAGAACTACACCAAGCTAAATAAAAAACACAGTAATGCATTTAAAAAAGAATCTAAAAAGCAACTTGTTAATGTGGCACAAGTATGTAGACTGGGATGCTATCTGGTTTGTGACACTATCTGGTTAATGGCATGTTTCAGCGTGAAAGACTAGGACAAGAAGTAGGATAAGTAATAAACACCCAGATACGCAGAAGAAGGAGGAGGAGATTATGGTGATGATACTTGAGGAGCATTGTGGATTATGTAAAACTTATCATGGACTCTCTAGGGAAAGGAGCTCCTATCTTTAGGATCTTTCACTACTTCATCTACAATGTATGTCACTAATGTAATCTGTAAACATAAAGTCAACTAAAAATACAAGTAGCAGCAGCAAAAGTGGTACTGAGCTAAAACTACAGATTCATCTAGTCCTGCACGTTGTCTCCAGGTATGTAGCATTTCCATTATGCTATAGCTGGGACTGCCACTCCATCACTATAGTTCGGCTTGCGCACCTCAGGGCCCTAGACAAAGCCACTTTACTGGCTTCAAGGTCCATGCTTTTTGAATACAGTATGTTCTGGTAAATCGTGTTTTGACACCACAGGAAAGCGTAGTTTCTCCAAAGGATAATAATCAGTGGCCAACTGCATGTGGATAAAAGCAGATACTGTCTGTCTAAAAAAAAAATCAACTACCCACCTAAACCAGAAATAAAGTGTCCCATACCAAAGTCTGTGAAAGGCCCCAAACAGCCTTCCTGACTAATGGAGATCTGGCATCACAAAGGTGCATCCCTTTCTGGTAACAGCAAGTATATATCCCCCTCTCTGCTATAAAGGGCCAATTCCTTATTTTCCGCAGTCAGACAACACCTGCCTTCACCCCAACCTCATTCTCCTTCTTTGAGTTTTCCTCTTCTTTTTAGCCAGCATGGTAACCAAAGCACAAACTAATTTTGCACCTTGTACAAAAACCACACAAGTGTATAAGAAGGATATAATTAAAGTATTAGTTCAAATCAACCTATTTCACTTTGAACTGAAAGCAGTCTATAAATAAGTGTTCATATAATTTAGTACCTGTATGTTATCTGAGATAGCACTAGCAAAACATCAGACTGTAATAACATACTGCTATAGGAAGGAGCCTCCAAAACAGCCTATAGATCTTTCATACATGAACATATATCTTATCTCAAATTTCATACATACAAGAAATCAATAATAGAACAATTACTCTTATAAATGATTGATCTTTTCTCCCATGTCTTCTACTATGGTACACAAAAAGTCCTCCTTATTGGGATTGCTTGGAAGGTAGGCTGTCAGAGTTTGGGTTGGTGGGGTTTTTTTTGGCCCTCTCAGAGGTCTCTTCTTCTCTATATTAGTAGTATTGTTGCAACCTTTCTGCTTGATGCAAGCTTGACAGGAGTGCTCACCATATACTGATACAATGACTTCAAACTCACCGTCCACTCAAATGGCTTTTGTCTCCCAACACCTTCAGTAGCACATCATCTATCTCCTGATTACATGTCTCTATGCAGAAACTAGAATTCTGTATTCCATACAAAACAATAAAAAAGAGGCTAAATTACAAACCTTATTGCACTCCTGCTCTTTCAGCTGCCCCTCTCTCCACATCAGGATGTGGCAGAAGGCACACAGTAATTTTAGTGCTGCCTTTTTTGGGCAGATGAATTCTGCAGGCAACACAGCTTGAAGAACTATGGACTATAACCCAATATGAGTATGAAATAGCATGCTGGCAGACAGAATTTTACAAATATAAATGCAAGATAATGCTCACCAAAAG